AAGCACCCCCCGGCGGGCGCGTGTCTGCTCCTGCCGGCTGCCCGTCCCCCTCCTCCTTGGGGACACCACTTCTCCCAGCCTGCGGGGGTCTTCTGCTCGGCCACCCCTCCCCAGCGGCGCCGCGGTCCTGCCGGGGGGCTGCTGCCTTCTCTCCCGCCTGCTGGAGCCCCGTTCCGGGCAGGACTCAGCTCTCCCAGCCTGTTGCATCTCAGCTGCTAAATAGGTTCTTCACACAGTTGCTTTCTGCAGTCGGAGTTTCCGCTGCCTTTGGGTTTTGCCATCATCTGGCTGAGGTTGGGAGCACAGATGCCGATCCCTGCTGGGGCGCTTGAGGGTGACTAGGAAGAGGGGTCCTGCCCCCCAGGAAAGGTCCCCAGGCCTGGGATGGGTGGGGGTTATGGGACGCGGAGGAGAGGAGCTGGGTGCAGGAGCGTGGGATTTGGGAAGCCACCGGACCCTGCTGGGGAGAGGAGGGCGAGGGGGTGGGCGTTACACAAGCCGCAGAGGTGTCGATCTCTCACTCCTTGGGAATGCTGCGCTGCCTCCCGGGGCTGCCGTCACCCTGGCAAGAGCGCGCAGGGGGTGCAGCAGGCGGCACGGCAGAGCCACCGTCTCGGTGGGGCTCCTTCCCCGAGGACACGCCGGCAGCCACGCTTTGGGGCGCGTCATACCCACAGGGCTGCAAAAATACCGCGGCCTTCACCGCGCTTCCTCCGTCACCGGAAACAAGCAGGGTGCCGGGGGCATCCTCGTCACCACGATTCATCCTCAGAGGCGGCCGGGGAGCCTCAGCTCGGTGCCACCAGCCATTGGGAGGGCTGCGGGTCCACCTCAGCCCACTCTGGCCCACAAAGGTGTCGCAGCTCTCACCGCACCGACCACGGCCGTCTGAGACGGTTATGACGGTGCTTGGCCGCTTGCTGGAGATGAAGCCCAGCCTGCTGGGGAGGTCTGGCAGAGCACCGGGACCCAGCTGGCATCTCCCTTGAAGCCCTTTGGATGAAACCATTTTCCCGGTAGAGTTTGCAATGAGCCACGAGCGCTGGCCTGATCTGACAAGAGGATTTATTCAAAAAACCCTCATTCCATTTGGGTCTGAAACAGAGCAACTTCTGCTGTCCTAATGAATGCTCATAAATAATTACATCCGGTTGGTCCCAGAGCCAGCTGGTCCCCGGGCGGGAGCCAAGCCTGGTGGATGGGTCCTCCTCCGCTGATCGTCTCCATCACACACCCACCTCGTGGCTGGGGTCCTGCTGCCGTGCAGTGGGCAGCAGCGTGGGAGAAACCCACCTCCCTGCCCTGCACGTGAGGGTGCCCCCGTGGGGAGAGGGCTGCGGAAGCGCTGTCTTATCTGCTCATGTCACGCTCGGCTTCACCCTGCGCTCCCCTTCCTGCCGTCCCCACCAAGAAGGAAGCGTAGAAGACTTCTGCTCAAGAGGAGAGATCAAAGACAAGATCAGAAAGTTTCTCTTGCCTCCGCTTAGAGGAAGAGATGAGTTCTTTGTGCCAGTGGGGAAAACAGAGCCCGAGGGCGATTAACCCCTTCCTGTAGCTCTAGCTCCCTGCAGAGCTACAGTTTCCATACCCTGGATGCTGCACCTCTTGCAGCAGTTGGTGCACCCCTCGCTGGGGCAGTTGTTGTCCCCCTGCCCCACATGCTTCACTCTGAGTGCCGGAGCAGAGGGATGGCCGCCGGGCATCCCCGTGGTCCTGGTGTGACCCTGCTCTCATCCTGACATCCCAGGACCAGGGGCAGCCCGTCGCATGGCTGAAGAGTTGCCCAAATCAGTAGGGCTGCACCCGGCAGGGGCAGTGTCTGGCTGGCAGCGGGCAAGGGGGGGCTGGACCTGCTGGGAGCGGGGCCTGGGGGCAGCGGGGAGGCTGGT